GCTGGGAGCTGTGAAAGCTTAAGCTGGAGCAGCTGAGGGGAGGGGGACATAAGTGGCGCTGAGTGTTTGTCAAACTTGTCTGCACATTGAAATTCCCCAGGGAGCTTCCAAAAATCCTGATGCCTCTGACCGGCCTCCGGTGACAGAGGCTAACACGTGCTGGGTCAGCCCGCACTTTGGAAGTATTAAAAGATCCCCAAGGGGTTCTGATGTGCAGAGAAGTTTGGGAACCACTATTGTAGCCCCTCGATACTCAAAGTATGGGCCATGCACCAGCAGCTTTGGCTTCCCCGAGGAGATTGTCAGAACTACGAAATGTTAGGCTCAGCCCAGACTTGCTGAAGCAGAATATGCACTTGACTTAGATCCCAGGGGAACTGTTGCTAATCAGAGTAGGTGGTTAATTAGAGAGGTAACACTGCCATACCTGCTCAGACCAGCCAAATCCCCCACCCAAGCACAACCACACAGCACCCTGTTTTCTCTTTCCTAGCACCAAGCGCGTTTGTGATTTTACACACGGGATAGATTTGTGGTCCATGTGAGTTATTTGAGAAGAGAGCACCAGGTCCCCAAAATATCTAGAAAGACACTGAGAGGGTATGCCCGTCACCTTTCTGCTTTATTTCCAAGTTTTGGATAATTTTTTAAAACAATGCTAAAAAACGTTTGTAATCTTGCAGGATCCTCACAGCAACCCTCTTGAGATGTAAAGGTCAGGGGTGACCCATTTTTCAGAGAAGGAAATTGAGTCACACAGAAAGAAGAATCGAACTGGAGAAGAAGCCCCCATTTTCAAACTGTACAACCCGTGCTCATCACAAACTCCACATTGTATTTCTTTTTTTCCTGTATTTATTTATTTATTTATATTTTTGTGGTACCTCGGTTCGAACTCCAGGCCTCACCCTTGCTAGGCAAGTACCACTTTAGTCTTGCCCCCAGCCCTGGTTTTCTCTAGTTATGTTTCAAATAAGGTCTTGACTTTTTTGCTCAGGACTGGCCTCAGACTGCAATCCTCCTACTAACAGCCTCCCATGTTGCTGGAATGACAGGCATTCACCACTGTGACTGGCTTTTTGATCACGAAGGGGATCCTATTAACTCTTTGCTCAGGCTGACCTTGAACCATGTCCCTCCTGATGTCCACCTCCCAAGGAGGTGGAATTACAAGCATGAGTCACCAGTGCTCAGTATTTTCCCCTTTACATTCTACATCCTACATTGTTCTTGGTGACACTTTCCCCCATCAAGACATACCCTGGGCTTCACCTGAAGACAAACGCTCAAAGGAGAGAAACTTTTGAAGTCCCTGATAAAACTCAGTTCTGCAATATCAGATGAACCACATCCTACTAACCTAAGCCAAAGCAAACCGCCAAAACATTTTTCCCTCCCCTCAGGAGGAAGGACAGGAGTAGACGCAACATTCCAAAAACACTTTTCAGGGCAGCGTTCCTCTGAAGCGCTTCTGTTCTGTTACTGCAAGAGGCTGGGAGCCCCAGTGCCTTCTGTCAACAGACCTGGACACCGCATCACGAAACCTACTGTTGATAAACCAGAGGGTCTTGTTTGGAATGCTGTTTCTGGCTGGGTTTCCCTTCCTCAATAAATAAGATCATCTTTTTCTCTGTATAGAAGATAGCTGGGTCCAGCCGGCTCCTGGATGGATGGCAGGCAATGAACAAATAACTATTGTGTTAAATAGCCAGGAACTGTCTGCAAGTGTGGTCTGATGGCTCAAATCTATTTCTCCCTTACAAAGCCATTAATTTTTCTCTCTCATGGATTTCTGTCACCATGGAAACTCTCCCAGTAGCAAGATGAAGGCTAGACCAACTGCTTCCTGCACCTTGTCCAAGGAGGCCAGGTCTTTTGCATCACTATGTCTATGGCTACAGTGGGCTCTTTCGGTTAGGAGAGGCTTTGCTCAAAAAGTTAATCAATCAAAAGCTAGGTGTGGTGGCTCACACCTTTAATCCCAGCTATTTAAGAGGCATAAGTAGGTGTCTTTGATCTAATCAGAGAGGCAACACTTAAACCAAAGTTAGAGATGAAGAGAGACTATTAGGTGTACAGTTAGAAAAAAATATAGTTCCTCAGAAATCCCCTAGAATGCTAAACTAAGGGGAAAGTGTTTTGAGGACATTTAATTCAAGGCTTCTCAAACTTTGCAGAAAATGTAATGACAGCAAACACTCTGCGCATCCTAAGTCCTTTCTATTATCTTCTCGGCACCCTGTGAGCCAGGCTGGATTGCTATTGACGGGAGGAAACTGAGATTCAACAATCACTGGCCCAACTAGAGCAAAAGAAATAAACAAAATTAGGACTGAAATCCAGACCAGCCAGACCCCAAAACCAGGGTCTCACAATTTGAAATACCTGCCTGCCCTCATCCTCCCTTGATGCTTCAGGCACAGTCTGACACTTTGAAGCTTTGCACATCCGGTGCCCACCATTTTTATTTGATCCTGTGCTCCTCTCTCGTGCCAACAACCAAGAACCATGCCAACATCTCACAAACTGAGAGTCCTACAGAATACAGTGTGGGCATCCCTGACTCAGGCCTGTTTTCTCATTTTACAAAGGAGAAACTTCAGCTGGGCAAAGCAATGACTCGCCTCCACTTGTACAGCTAATAAATGCAGAGTTGGCACCATGAGGCTGGTCCCCCCACATCACAGGCTGATGCTCTGCAATACTGCACTGACTTACATCACTATTTCCTAGCCAGACCCTGAGACGGGTGGCATAACCACAGCCCAGCTTTCCAGGCCAAGTGTCACGACTGATCTCCACGTACGATGACCACTCGTGCTCTTATGGGAAGAACAATTATGTGTGGGTATGAGGGTGCCATGCCACTTATGACATGCTTCCACATCTCATTTCCAGGCCTCTGGGTAGGTCTGCAATGCTCCAACAATGAAGCCTTATTCATAAGGGGTACCTCCCAATGTAAACTTGAAATCGTTCAAATACTAAGTGTGGAAAGATTGTTCTGTTTCAACCAGTAAAATTCAAGGCGTTGAGAAGAGGGGGGTGGGCGTTAGTCACATTCCGTGCCAATGGCCTTAGGGAGAAAAGTTCTGGCTGTGAATTCAAGCTCCCCAGCTTGGGCCATGTGTCAGTGGTGAGTCATCTTAATACTGACACTGAACTTGGGTTTGCTAGCACTGACCAGGTACAAATGCACACGTGCTTCCCTCCACACACGTGCGACACGGCTCTTACTCCCTGAAGATGTGTGTATTAAAAAGAGCCAAGCGAGAGGTCTACAGCTGAGTATTATCATGGGAACATATTCTCATGATATTTAGAGTGCAGAAGAAAGGGACTGTGAAGGATAACTGTTTCTTCCCGTCTCTCTCCTTAAATGTTAGCACTGGCAATGAGGATGGATTCACAGATTTCATAGCTTGTCTTCCCCCTCTTCAAAGCAAACAGGAAGAAACTAGTAATGTCCCAAAGAGCATGCTCAGATTACCACACCATCTTTCCTACCTCTGGCCCTTCCTTCTGCTAGGCATCCTCTCCTTCCCCTTTCCTGCCTATTCACCTTGCATGGCCCAAGTCCAAAGTCACCAGAAGAAGCATCCGTGGACCTCCCATATGGGTTTATTCTTTTTTTCTTGTTTTTTTTTTTTTGTTTTTTTTTTGAGACAGAGTCTCACTATGTTGACCAGGATGACCTCAAATTCACGGTCATCCTGTATTGGCCTGTCAAGTGCTAGGATTACAGGTGTACACCACCACCTTCCTCTGTGATTCTGATGTCTGTATGCAAAACCATTTCTGTTTCCCATGCCTAATGTGGCCTGGCACTTTACATATATTGTCTTGACACCAATTTGGCAGGTAAGGAAAGTGAGGCTCAGCTTGTCCAAGGCCATGCAACCAATAAGCTGTGAGCAGCCAACAAACTAGACTTGCAATCCATGTGTCTCAGGCTCCAAAGCCCATGCCTTGCTGTTACAGGACAGGTGGCTTCCATTACCCCAGCCTTCTGCCGCCAAGGTCAGGTGATAAGTGCATGTATTTCCTTCTCAGCTCCTTCATCCTTTAGGGCACACCTGAGTCCCTATGGTAGTCCCTGTGCCTGGTACAGAGTAGATGTAAACTAAATGGTAAACGGTTCAATGTGGGTGTTGAATGAAGAGTGTAGCCATGCACGTCAGTAGCTGATTGAGTCCTCCACACCCAGCAGGAACCTGGGCCAGTCTCTCAGTCTGCAGATCCACACCCTCATTCCCACCAGCCTCCTGGGAATTTTGTTGGAGGGCCAATTCTGAAGTGAGGGACCAGGGTAGGATGCAAGGGTCTGTATTTCTGGTGAGCTCCCAGGCATTGGTGCTGGTGTGAAGACCCCATGTGACAGCCAACAGCAATGATAATCAAATTCACTTTTGTTCTCTTTGACTCATAAGGAATAATAATAATAAAAATACCATCTTGTGGATCATTCTATCGTTCTCCTTCCAAAGGAGATTCCAAATGCTCATGAGGTTTTCCATACTTTAGCAAAACTATTTAAGTTATGCTACTCTGACCATAAACATTTGGCTGCATGCAGATTCGTTGGTGCTTGTAGCTTTGATTCAGTCTCATCCTAACAATAAATCAGAAATAAACAAGGGAGAGGAGACACTGGCTGGAAGGTTCCATGCACCCTTGAAGGCTCAAGGGTGGCAAGGGAGAGGGAAAAAGAGTTGGCCACCCACAAGAGTCTTTCCAGCAGGCTTGGCATTTTGTGACACAATGAGCCCCAGTTGTATTTTTATAGCAAGGGGCCCCACTCTTCAACACTTGTTGCCCTATGGCCCCTTTCCCAGCCATTCTTCTCTGTTCCTGGTAAACAGTTAGTGTGGTTTATTGATCTTGAGCCCTCTGAACCCCACGCAGTCCCTCTGCTGGTATGCCAAGTTTTGTAGAGGTCACACCTCCCCAGTCCAAGGCGTTCAGAAGGAAAACACACTCTTTTCTGTCTCCTTTTCCAGATGTCCCTGGGCCAGCAGCAGTCAGCAAGAGGTGTGGCTTGTCTGAGATGCAAAGGGATGTGTACGGGCTTCGAGCCACATTCGTGGAGGTAATGGGTTGGGTCTTGGGGCCTCTGTCTTCCTTCCTTTCTTGGTTGTCCTTTCCAAGAAGCCAGGTCGTTCTTTCTGCTGGACCTCTTGGGCTGCACACATTGTGGGGAGGGCAGCTGCAGAGGGATGGCTTTCCTGCCTGGATCATGTCAGAAACAAGAAAGAAGTCCTCAGGGAACAAAGTTCTGAAGTAGGAGCTTAGCACCCCATAAACCATTTCAGGGTGGAGACTCCAAGCCAAGCCAAGCCCAGCAGCACTGCTCTGGGAAGACCAGCCAGGGATTCCTTTGGAATAAGACTCTCTCCTTGGGGTTTAAGTGTTCTATCCCACTGCACCATCATCCCTGTGGGTGGGTTTAATCGAGAATTAGCCTGTGGGACAGAAGTGAAAGTCATTCTGTCCACAGCACTAAAACCCAGGACCTGATTGATATTCTTATCTGACCAGGAGGACTATAGGAACAGCTGGAGTCACAGGGTTTGTCTCTCTTTTTTCCATCAAGGGCTCTGATAACAAGTGCAAGGCTGCCATTTTGCACAACACTCCAGCAGCAGTGGTGTCAGTGTCTAGGTGCATGACACCCCTGGAGTTGTACAAGGCCTACAGCCCCAGGAAAGGGAGGCCAAGCTCTGTAGAGCTAGGTAGCAAAATCCAGAGCTTTTGTTCACTCTGCTATAAAGTCCTCTTGGGCACTCAGTGGGGGAGCCGTTTTCTCATGCTGACTTCTGTTGGGAAATAGCAATTACAAAACTAAGTGCTTACTAATAGGCTGAGTGTAATCTTTATCTTGAAAAAGCCTAAGCAGTAGATATTGCTATCTCTGTTTTACAGATTAGGACACTTGGTGGGGGAGGGGGTAATGGGCAGACAGCTACTAAATGGCAGGATTTGCACTCAGGACTACTATCTTGTGTTCTAACCATCCTGCTACACAGTGGGCTGTGAGCTTTGGAAGCAGGACACCATTCCTTGCTCAATGCCCTACAGTCCCGCACCACAGAGGAACCCATGTGGTCTTCAAAAGGACCTCCAAGGTCATGCAATCCAGGTTTCCACCCCCTGCAAAAATTCTTCCCACAACTAAAACACTCCCAGGAGAGCTCCCTGTATTTCTGTTCCAGCCCTTTGAGCTCTTTGTGACCTTGAGGAAAGTCAACTTACCTTCCATTTCAACCCCACTAGTCCCAAATCTACTTCCTGTCAGAGTCCCAGACAGTGTTGATTCCTCTTTAACTCTTCAAAGACAGGAGGACTCTGTAAAGTTCTTGGGTCAGAGAGAAAATGTTGCCTAAGTCTCACACACACACACACACCCCTCCCCGAGTCAGCCAAGCATTCTGGACTCATTCCTCATGGCTAGATTCAGAACTCTCTGCATGGTCTTAATCACTACATTGCTTTGTCATTCTACAAGTGATTTGAACACCAAGTGAATCTGACTTTGAGAAAGACAGACTGCAGATTGTTGGTCCTGCACATTAGGTGGTGTCTTCTGGGGTAACAACCCTAGTAGGAACTTAAATTCAACCCATGTTGAAGCAATGATCTCACAGAACCTTAAAGAGGAAACCATCAAACGTTCAGTTCAGTTTCCATAGTCAATTGCTTGGAAGATCTTTAAATAACCAAAGTTCCAGCCAACCTGGTGTAAAAAGGAAAGCCTCTTGACTGGTCATCACGGACAGAATGCAATTCGAGGCTGTTGGCAAAGAGTGGAAATGGCCATTTAAGGACCACTGAGGCTCTTTGAGAATGCATCTATGTCACCTACAATCTGGTGCCTGGAAGGAGTCAACAGGACATAAAAGACTTGCAATCAGAGCTCTCCACACTGGGATGTCCTCACTTCCTCCCGCTTCCCTTCCTTTCACTCTCCACATGGAAGCCACTAGCCCTATCCCCGACCTGTCCTCCAGGTCTGGCTCCTAAAAGGGAGAGGCAAAAGAATGGTATGGACAGGAACAAAACCCCCTAAGTGTGCACAACAGGCAACCCCTTCTCATGAGACCAAAAAGAAAAGATTTCTTATTCTTCCCCTGCAGCATGCTTAAGGTCGTTTCTCTTTTGTAGTGCTGGAATCTTCTATTTCAATACTTCTCACATTGCTGAACACTGAATGTAAACTTGAACTACAAGTGTCTCAAATAACACTGTACATCGGGGTATTAAAGACAAGGAAGAACCTCTCACTGAAGAACAATAGCTAACCTTAAATCACTCTTCCCCAAACTCAGGACCATTGAGCACGGAGACCTTGTCTATAAGCCACCTATTAGCATCCTGGGAAGCTGGACAGGGCCAGCAGAAGTATCCCTGCTCACACATGGGGCCGCATGGCCCAACCCTATCCTGCTTCAAGGATTCTCTCTCCCTCTGATTCTCTCTCCCTCTGCTACTCCAGCTGTAAACTCCTGGAAGGCTGCAACAGGGCCTCCATCTGGTCACATTAGATGAGCACTTCTACCTAGCACTCTGGGCATTGTGAGCCTTTGGTGGGGGGCTGTGCTATGGTTGTGGACTGCTGGCAGTGTCCCAGGCTTCTAGCCACATGACGCCAGCACCCTCCCTTCTCCCTGTGACAATGAGAAATGTTTCCAGACATTGCTACATGCTGGGGACAAAGTGGCCTTGCTTAAGGAGCCACTGATATAAGCCAGCAAAGCCCATGTCCACCAGCCATGCAATCTGTAGTCGTGATGTGTGATCACTTGTATTACCTAAGCATACAGAGGGACAGGCCTCCTTCAGGCTGGTCTGCTGGGAGACCATCAGGGCTCTGCAGCAAAGCCTTTCTTGCTTAGGCCTTTCCATCCTACAGTTGATCTTGACATTCCTCACTTTACTTAAGGAGCCCTTGAATCACATCCGAGACACAGCACAGCACACCCTTGGTGACAGGCAGAAAAGGGAGGGGAGCATTCTTCCTCTCCCACTGAGGAACTCTGGATTTCTAAGCCTTCACAGCATGACACAAAGCAGCCGAACACTTTTGTTTCATTGTTAAAGAGCAGGATCAGGCTTTCAAGTGAACTTGAACTTTCCTGAGATCCATTTCCAGGCTCCTGACAAAGCCTTTCCAGGCAATATCAATCTCTAGCTCGAGGGCTTTTCTCAGCTTGCTGCCTTTCCTCTGGGTCCAGTCCACAAGTTGCTTGAGGAACATTTCCACTGGATTCTCACTTTGCTGTGCACGCTAAAGAGTTTAAAAGAAGTTGTGAGGCCCTTGAACCTTGAGAGATAGTTTTAATAACTCCTAGAGCAGGTAGTTAGCAAACATTTTGTGTAAAGGGACAGGTAGTAACTATTTTAGGCTTTGTCGACCAGATGGTCTTTGTTGTGACTACTCGAATGTGCCATTCTAACTGCAGAGCAACCACAGACAATGCGTGAATGAATGAGCATGGCTGGGTTCCAATAAAACTTTATCTATGAAAAGAGGCCGGGTTCAGGCCTCCGCCCCCACACGATCCAGACTTAGAGCATGGGTAATGAGTGAATCAGCCTTTGCCACAGTGACCGCCAGAAGGAAAACATACTATTTTTTTTTCTTTCTTTCTTTCTTTCTTTCTTTGGTAGTCAAAAAATGTTGACTACAAGCTCCTCAGTGTTCTGCTCCACATTCCCTACAGGTAGACAGACTGGTGGGAAGACAGGCATTTCCCAAAAAGATCCCCAACCCTGAGGCCTTTTCTTCTCAGGTCACCCTTTGTCTGTGGCTAGCTTTTCCAAATTGCCAAAGTTAGACTTTGTACTTGCTTTCAAAAGGGTAAGATGCTGCAGGGGAGACCGCCTCTCTTTTGCCAAGGTTGATCTCACTCGTCACCCCTCTTCACACATCTCAGGAAAATATGCAAGTCATGCAAATGCAGCCAGGAGGACCACTGCCTCAGCTCCGACCTAGAAGATGACCGGAAAATTGGCCGCTTGTTGATGGGCTCCAGGTACTGCACCCTCACAGCCCGGGTGAAAGGCGGGGACGGCATCCGGATTTACAAGAGGAACCGCATGATCATGACTAACCCCATTGCTACTGGCAAAGACCCCACCTTTGATACCGTCACCTACGAGTGGGCTCCCCCGGGCGTCACCCAGAAACTGGTAAGAGGGCTTCTTCTGCTCAAGCGATTGTTTTTCTAGCCACGTAGATATTGGGTGTGTCGTGGATTCTTGCATCTCAAAGATGAGGGAGCAGGACGGCAATGGAACAAAAATGGTGGTAATGGCCATGGTTTCAGCTCTGCTCCTAAGTCACGATGCTGACGCAAAGGCTGTCCAGGCCTCAGTCTTTCTCATCCGTGAACTGGGTAGAGGTGTTCGTACGAACCCAAAGGCCCCTCTCAGCTCTAGCACAGGGGCATGCGTTGTCCCCTTGGGGATCCTCACTTCTGAACAGAGGATAGCTCATCACTCAGAATTCTCCCAGTGATCCTCTCGATTTGCAAGGTGTTCCTTTCCCCACAAAATGGCCTGAGGCATGGCCTCTCCACACCTGGAGGAAAGCAGACAAAAAGTCCTCCCTTCTCCTCAAAAACTCAAACCTCTAGATCTTCGAAAGGAGAAAACAAACTGGTTTTTCACAACCATGGGGTAGTGGTACCCAGAGAAGTCTTGGGCAAATGGTGAGAGACCATGAGGAGGGAAGAAGGGACATAGGCCTAGAGAGATAACAAGGGACTCACCAGGTTACAGTGGCTACCCATTGGCTACCCTTGGGACCTGTAAGATGTCCCCATGCCAGGTCTCACTCCAGGCCACTGAGTCAGAGGCTCAACCATGCAGAAAGGGTGACTCCACCTGCAGCCATCTTTAAGAAGCAGTTCCTCGGATCAGGGCTCCGCACACTTCACACTTACACACGCATGAGCGCCATCCTCAGCTCCTTAGAGTGCACCCAGGAGAACCCAGGCCTCCCGAAGTTCTGCCTCCACACACGCTCCCAAGTGAAGCTGCTGCTTCACTATGTCCCCAGAGCATAGCTGGACTGGCAAGGGACCAGACAATGTCTGCAAGTAATGAGATTTAAAAAACCCAGATTCAGCATCCTTAGAGTTGCATACCTGGTCTTTCCTGGAAGGGAAGGGAAGTGTCTGGGGTCCTGTGGGTCCTGACCCTGCAGGCTCCCTCCTCGGCTCCCATTCCGCCCCTCACCCAATACCTCATAACACACCGACTTTCTCCTTCCAGTTCTGGAACATGCCAAGTTCTTGCCGTCTTCTCAGGCTTGGCACCTGCTGTGCCCTGTACTAGAAGTATTCATTCCCTGTTCCTCACATGGCTGGCAGGTGTCAAACAGACCTTCCCTGACCTTCCAACTTATAATAGACACCACCATTCTCCTAGCACATTTATCTTTCTTTCTATTTCTTTGGAAGCTTTTATTGCAAGCCGTAATTACCTTATGCATCTCTGAGCTTAGTTCTCATCTCTTCTCACAGTGGAGTAAACGGAAGTCCATGAGGGGAGACACCATGTCATGCCCTGACATCCTAACACCTAGTTGGCTTTCTGTCACTGTCACAAAGTACCTGAGCTTATCAAGTTATACAGAGAAAAGGGTTATTTGGGCTCACAGTTTTGGAGGTTTAGGTCCGAAGCCTTTTTGCTTTGGGCCTATGGTGAAGTAACACATCATGGTAGGGACCCATGATAGAGCAAAGCCACTCACCTCAGCCAGAAAGCAGAGAGAGAAAAAGGAAAGAAACGGAGGTCTCACAACCCCTTCAAGGACATCCCCAGTGACCACTCACCAGAGAGAACAGGGAGACCAGGACCTCACTACCCTGTGTAAAGACACACCCCCAATTACCTAACAACCTCCCACTAGGCCCCACCTCTCCAAGTGTCCACAAACTCCCAACAACGCCTTTAACACATGGCCCCTGGAGGGACACTCAAGATCCAACCACACACCAGGACACTCGGTAGGCATGATAACCATTGGTGCTATGCCATCCACCAGGCCAGAGGTGCTGTGGGTAGGGTCTGGGACCCAGATGTGCCACAAAGCCCTTGTGACTGGGTACCAGGAGAAAAGTGCAGAAATTAAGAAAAAAGGTTGGGGGAAAATTGTAGCAATGTGAGGTCCAGATGAGGGATGAGATGAGAACTTCTGTTATTGCCCAGAATTAGATTCGTCAGACTCGCATGGAATCTTATGTGGCATGAGCTGCCTTCTCATCACACGCAGTGACACCAGGAATCATTGTGCAGAAGTGGAAAAGCCAAACACACTTGCTCCCAAGGTGGGGAACCCTCCTAGATAAAGCGAAGACAGGAAATGGTTGCGTTGATTCAATTGTACATTGTGACAAGCACAAAGCAGTTTTCAAAGAACACATTTCAAAGAAAGCATTTGTGGGCACTGCCACCCTGAAAATAGAAGCTACCTTACATATCAGGAGCAAAGAATGGCTCACTTTGCAGGTTTACAGGGCTCAGGGGGGCCACAGAGTGTGGCATCAGAGCAGTGGCAGAACAAGGCCATGCCAGTTGACCAGAGCAGGGCCAGCCTCCAGCACCTGGTCCAGGAATGCCATCAGGTGGCCTGCATGCTGTCCAGGGAAAGGAAAGCCAGCAGTTCATAAAAGGTCTGCAGGCTTCAGGAATCCACTGATAAAAAGCCCCAAATTCTTCAGCCCCATCTAATCAGGAGAAGGCATTGCGGTGCCGTGATTAATACTGCTCATAAAACCACATGCTTCAAAGAGTCCCTCTGTCTGCCCTGCAGCTGGCTTCCCTGCCCAGACACACTTCTGAGATTGACCACCGCCCCCATCCTCCTCGCTCACCCAACTTTGTTTTAATTACCGAGTGGTCGGGACTGCTTGTATTTTGGAAACGAGACAGAATCTTGCTGTCTGTCATCCTTCCCAGCCAGAATGAAGGCCAGGGAAATTCTTAGGCCTTTCAAGCTGGTGAGGAGCAAGACTAATGCGCCTTTCATGGCAACTGACTGTGTGCCAACCACTATGTCCACACTCAGCCTCACCTCATTTCCCAGCCCTGATACGAATGTGCCGTATTATACTCTCTCTACAGAGAGGGAAACTGAGGCTCAGAGAGGGAATGGAACCAGCCAAATGCCCCACAGCTGATTTAAGAGCCAGAGCCAGGCCTTGAACTCCAGCCTCCCTGCCTCCAGCGCCTGGCTCCTCCTGACCAGGCCTCCTGGACTGGCAAGGGGAAGCAAGCTGGAGCAAGTACCCTGGGTTAGCACTTTTAGGGCAGGCTTCCAAGAACAGGGAGAAGCTTGTCTTTGAGAGACAGCCTGGGTGGGAAGAGAGACAAGAAGAAGTGAAGGTAAAGGGATCTGGCATCTGCCAAGCATTTGCATGTTTGTGTTGCTGAGTGCGTTCTGGCCCTGCTTTACAGGGGCAAGAAAGAAGCTGTGAGGACCCCAGGCAGGGCTGAAGCTCACTCACACCCCACCCTCTCCTCCCACACCCGCCTTCCAGCCTCTGCTCATCCATCAGCGTGACCTATCTGTCTCACTGAGCCCTGTCAGGCCCAGCATCCTACTCAACACAGCCCTCCAGGCATCCACTGTCTACTTCCTGGCCTTGGCTGACAGCATGAAAGCCAAGCCACAGTCCAGGTGGTTCTACTGCCCCGGCCAGGGTACAGAGCCCCTCGCTGGCCACTTTTCTCTCTGCATGGTTACTTCTCCCTTGATACAGGTGGATTCTGGAAACTTCTCCAGCCTAAATTGCCCAGCCAGACTGCAAAGCACCACAGAACTCACAAAGATGTTTAGGAAAAGCTTAAGTCCTAAACCAGTACTTCCTGCTGCTCTGAGAATAAGCCCATTGTTAAAGTGACCTTACTTCCTGGAGAGATACCTGGAAGATTCTCTTACCAGCACCAGGCAGCCATGATGACCCAGCCCTCTGTCCTATCATCACCTCCCTGGTCCACACTAGTCAAAGTGAGCACCTGGAGGGCTGGGCTTTAGGGTACCTGAGGCCCTCGTCATGGGTTGATTAGTAATGTCTGCCCTGAGTGTGTGAAGGGAGCTATGGGCTCCCAACCAGTCTAGCCCTTGAGCTGCAAACACTGGGTCCCAGGACAGGCCCTTTCTCCAGGGCCTGCCCAGGAATTCATCTATAGCCACAGACACCCACAGGCGGGGCTGTGAAAGGACTGTGCACACAGGGATCAATGTATGTCTGACTGGTTGGGCACTGCCCCAGGATTCCCTAACACGGTGTTTATTTACAAAGCTAAACTGGCAGGGGGAAGGAGAGAGATGCAATCCTTAACTGCTAGAGAAACAAACACATCCAGGAAATGTGGGTTCTTATGGGAGACCCTGCTGATGTAGCAGAGAAATGCTTGAGATCCAAGTTGCTGGCTTGAAAACTGGTTTTTATCTAGTTTTTATCACACTAGCTGTGTGACCTTGGGCAGGATACCTAACCTCTCTGTGCCTCCATTTTCCAAGGGTTACATCAGTACCTTCCTCCTAGGCTGTTGTGAGAATTAAATGGGTTCACATGCATGAAACCCTTGGTAGAGAATCTGGAACTGAGCAGACACCACCTACACATTGGCTGTTCCCATCATGACTTAAGTCACTGAATCTGGACAGTCCCGTAGCTTCACAGGAAGAGATTTCTCCCCCATGAGCCTACAGCTGGGGCTGCTTCAACTGTGGAGTTAGTGCGGTGCTGGCCAGATATAAAGCCCATTCTGCCAAAGGGAGCAAAACTCTTGTGGCCACCTTTCCAAAATCCTTCCTTGGATAGCAGGAGCAGGGCGAGTCCTGGCAGCACCTAGGAAAAGGACATGTGGGTATCTGCCACCCACGGCTGCACCCTAACCCACCTCTCAGAGCCCTGTGCCCTGCCAAGGCATTGGTTGCTGGGCTGCCACTTCCAACAGTCCTCTGATGGTCCCAGCTGCTCTTCCACCACTGCCCCCAGGGCAGCCTGAGCCCCAGATGTCTGCTTCGACCCACCCATGCAAAAGAACCTGTTAAAGTGCTTGTTTCTAGGCCCCTCAGTGCCCCTTCCCCGATCACAGTCAAAGGGTGGTCCAGAAAGCTTCCCCACGGGTCTCCACATCATTCTTCTGCACCCTAAAGCTGGACACTTGATCCTGGGGACACAGCTGTGTGGTGCAGCTGTGCTAGAATGCACCTGCGGTTTTGTACTATCTACGGGGAAGGCCACGAGACACTCAGCCCCCAAAGCAGGGCCAGGAAGAAGCCCTTCCCAGATATTGTGCCAGGTGCCTGGCATCCTGGAGCTTCACTTTTCATGATAGGTGAGGACCTTGGCCTCCTTGCCCATCAGAATCCACCATGTCTGTTAGCCCCTTTCCTGGCTGTTAATTTGAGTTGGTGATGTCACTCTTCTCTCTCTTTGTTGGGGTGAGGATCAAGTGAGGCTACTACAGAGTTCTCATGATGGTCAGTACACTGCTGATCGTGCGGTCTACCATGACATTTGCATAGGAGGAAACTAAGGCTCGAAGGGTTAGGTTCTCTCTAAGTTTAACACAAGAAAGCAGGGCTACACCTGAACCCAGAGTTGCTGACCCCCAGGGCTCTGCCCACCACCCCAGCTTCCTCCTGTCCAGCACAGCCATTTGGAAAGCAGTGGGGATGTGTGGATGCCCTGGCTGTGCATGAGCACTCGATGGCAGCAGGGACTCAGTCAGGGTCCCAGAGATCTAGAGCACAGTCACCAAGGGGGCATCCACAACCACACCCCGACCTGACTCCCACGGCACTCCAGGGCACCTACCTGCTCTTTCTAAAAGTGCTTTCATCCAGAATTCATTCATTAGGAAGCCTAGCAGATACCAGGCTTGGTATACACACCTGCTCCACTTTCAGCTTTCCAATACTACAGAAAATCCCTGAGAATATTCACTTGTAAAGAGAAAGTTTTATTTTGGCTCACAGTTATGGAGGTTCCAACCCATGACAAGATAAAACCATTGTGTTAGGTGAAGAGGCAGCACAGAGGAGTGGAGCAAAATTACTCATCTCATCCTGGCTGGGAAGCCAGAGAGGGCAAGGAGGCCAGGGCCTCACTGTCCCCTTCAAAGACACACCTACAATTACCTAAAGACCTCCCACTAGGCCCCACCTCTTAAAGACTCCACTACTTCCCAATAGCACCACTCTGGGACCAAGCTTTCAACACATAGACCTTTGGAGGACAGTCAACATCCCTTCTCCCCAAAACCAGACAACTGGGACTGTCCATCATGAATTTCAGTATGAATGTCCAGGTCCATTCCCAAAATTCCAAATGAGACATGGGGCAAGTGGGTTCACAGAGGATCAACATGGTAGAGCCAGGTAGATCACCTGGCTCCCAGTGTGACGCTCAGAGATGAATAACAGAGGTGAGTAACGTCACCTAGAATAAACAATTCACCTGTTTCTCATACTGTCGCTTCAACTTTATCTCTCCCCAACCTTCCCAACCCTGGAACCCAGCAAGGGGAAGATTTCTGCTCATGAAAACAAAAAAGTCAAACTGGACCGAGGTCTATGACCGCATTAATATTCAGACAATCACATATTGATGTGGCCATGCTACTGACTTGAGGCCTTGCCAATTCTCCTCTTAGAACGTGCCTTTGCACACTTTAAAATTAATCAACCATGAAATAAATACCTTATGCCTATCGTGCTCTAATTACATTTTTCTAAGAAAAGCCATTTTAAACTAGACTGGCTTTATTTTTTAATTAGAAGTATTTTCCATGAAGTAAAAATGTCCATTTTGAAGGGAAAGAAACCCACATTCCAAATCTAAACTGATCACCCACTGACCATCGCACCTGTCTTGTCACCCACATGCACAGTCAGATGTCATTGATTTGTTACCAAATCCTCAACCACTGTCGGTTTTATGTTCCTCACTTGTACTGAGAAACCTGTGCACAGAGAGGGTGTGAGGTGACTGTAGTCACCAGCCGGCCTGCCTGACACTAAGGATTTAATTAGGGTCAGGCCAAGCCTAGGACCTTCACTCTTGAGTGGATGGTCCCATTTGAGGGTGACCTCAAATATACCAGGAATGGCAGAGAAGGGAGTGGCCAAAGTGTACGGTATTGCTTGTAAGAACAGGGAAGACAGAGAGCTTTCCCCTCACAGAAGGGAACTTCATGAGCACAGGTCGAAAGGAAACACATCAACTGTTCCTCACTTGTACTGAGAAACCTGTGCACAGAGAGGGTGTGAGGTGACTGTAGTCACCAGCCGGCCTGCCTGACACTAAGGATTTAATTAGGGTCAGGTCAGGCCAAGCCTAGGACCTTCACTCTTGAGTGGATGGTCCCATTTGAGGGTGACCTCAAATATACCAGGAATGGCAGAGAAGGGAGTGGCCAAAGTGTACGGTATTGCTTGTAAGAACAGGGAAGACAGAGAGCTTTCCCCTCACAGAAGGGAACTTCATGAGCACAGGTCGAAAGGAAACACATCAACTGTGGAACCAGTGACAAGACTGTCCCAGGTGGCCCAGGCTGTATTGCGGTCAGCCATCTTGAATTACTGTTTCCATCATCTGTTAAGAGTTTTATCAGTTGACTTATATCCAGCAAATGATACCAGAGAAGAGGTTTAAAAGCCAAGCTTCCTCTGGCAAACTTGTCATAATTATTGCAAGTCAGAGAACAAAGAAAAGTAATGCCTAGTCACATTCTGATGGAAATATAAACTAGTAGTTATAAAATCCTCTCTCTTCCAAACGCCATCAAAAATGACAGCTACATCAGTGTTTGGGGACGAAGCAATGAGATAATATTATTCTGAGAGAGCAGAGACGAGGCTAGCTAATGAGTGGATAGAGCAGAAACTGACAGATGCAAACAGGTGTTTGCTTCTCACATGTCAAAGTTGTTTGACTTCCATCCCTGCGCCACGCACACACAAACATGACCATGGGCTGTGGCAGCCATCAGAGAAATGAAACCCACTAATACGGGATCATTTTAAATGATGCGTGTGCACACACACACTTTCTTCACACCCAGAAAATAGCATTTTAACAAATACATGTAGGAAAAAGCCTGGAAAGATGCTTACAAAGATTTTATCAAGCCATTACCATGGACCAATGAGGTAGAATTTTTTAACTGCTTTTGAAATCAAAGTGCAGCACCCGTACAAAACAGGACAGGCATCCTGTGTGGCTTGGCGAACTCTGACATAGATGCATAGCCTTGGCTTCATTGCCAAGGGCAAGAAACAGAAAGTTCTCACATAGGAGTCGGAGGGTCGGTGCACATCTTCCCTTTCTGTCCTTCTCTTGCCTGTTTTCTTATTTGTGAGAATAGGCAGGCATTGCTTTTCTGATTTATAAAAAAAAACTACATCAAGTCAAACAAAGGCTGTGTTTGTTTCAGTTGATGAAGACATAGAAAGGTATGAATTTTGCATTTTACATGGATTCTGTTGTCACTTTTGACAGTGGAGCCCTGTCCACCAGACACTGTCTCCTCCCCTCTCCCCGCAGGGCCTGCAGTACATGGAGTTGATCCCCAAGGAGAAGCAGCCAGTGACAGGCACCGAGGGCGCCTTCTACCGCCGGCACCAGCTCATGCGTCAGCTCCCCATCTACGACCAGGACCCCTCTCGCTGCCGTGGACTTTTGGAGACCGAGCTGAAGGCCATGGAAGAATTTGTCAAGCAGTACAAGAGCGAGGCCCTCGGGGTGGGCGAAGTGGCTCTCCCGGGCCAGGGCGGCCTGCCCAAGGAGGAGGGGAAACCACAGGAAAAGCTGGAGGGTGCAGAGACCACTGCCCCGACCACCAATGGCAGCCTGGGAGAGCCATCCAAGGAAGTGGAGTATGTGAGTGTTCCCGTGTCCCCAGTCTGGCTGAGACCAGCCAGGTCAGGCTGCATGGTCAGGGCCATGTTCCCTCATTCACACCTTCATGCTTTCAGCAGGTACTTGGTGCTCATTTACTCTGTAGCAGGGACCGTCACCTAAAAAATAGCACAAGGTCACACCCTCCCAGGCTCACAGCCCAGTGCAGGCCACAGATAAGGCAGCCATCCAGCTTTGAGAAAGGGTATCCAGCCTTACTTGGGAGAAGTAGAGGCTGCAAGGAGAGAGGAGGCAAAGCTGGCTGGTGAGATGTCCCTGGGAACCATCCAAGCCTTCAGGCTTAGAGGGGAGGTGTGCGCCCCTACAGAAGTGAGCATGAGTGAGAAAAAGCCACAGGTTCAAAAGAGCATGGTGGCACTGAGGATAAAAGCAGTCCCGTGGGAGAGACGATGTAGAGCGGGGGCACTGGGATCGAGCATGGGAAGTGACAGGGACCCGTTTCCCAGAGAGTCACACCTTGCCATCATTCGTCAATCAAGTATAGATCAGTAGTGTCTACCCAGCCCCAGGAAGTCAAGCAAGAGAGGACACTTGTCCCCACACTGGGGAAAGCAAGCAACTTAGAGCCCTATTCTAAGGGTCCTGCATAGGCGGGCTTTCCATCAGAGGTGTCACACAACCCAGCCATGCTTCTGGAAGTTTCCCTAGGAGTATTATGGAAGTACTGTTTCAGTGGAGAGTGAGGCACAGGGTGAGAGAAAACATGAAGGAGAAGCCAGTGTTTGGGAGCTAAAAGCCTGGTAGATCGGTTTGTCTTGAACTGCCTTGAACGGAGGCAAAGGAGCTGATGGTCACTACCTTTCCAGTTCCCAGGGCCCTTTCTACCTTTTATTCTCCCCACCCATCAGCCAAGTGGCCTTGTTTGCCCCTACTTGGCATTTAGAAATAAAAGTCCCAACACATTAGCCAGGCATGGTGGTACACACCTATAATCCCTGCTAAGTGGTAGGAAGAGGTATGAGGATTGTAGCTCGGGACCATCCCAGGTAAAAGCTTAACTCTACCTGAAAAACAAACCAAAGAAAAAAGGGCTAGGGGTGTGGCTCAAATGGTAGAGCCCTTGCTTAAGTGCAAGGCCCTGAGTTCAAACCCCACTACCACCAAAAAAAAAAAAGTTTCCCAACATCATGCTTAGAACAGCAGGGTGAGCCAGACAACCCCAGCAAATGCAGCCCAAAAGACACTGCCACACTGTCTCCCCTGGGTGTTTTCCAACTGTGTCCCCACACAGGTGGCCCACTCTGGAATTGCCACTCGAGGAACTATATCCTCACACTATTTCAGTGCAGAATTCTAAGAAAAGAGAACTAAACTGTTTTCTCGATCACCAATTTGGTGATGATCTTTAAATATCCATTTCTTAGGAAGAATGCATGTGCTAGGGCTGGGTACACCTGAAATCCCAGCTACTCAGGGGCAGAGATCAGGAGGATAATGGTTCAAGGCTGGCCTAGGCAAAATGTTAGTGAGATCCCATCTCAAACAGCAAGCCACAGCATGGTGGTATGTCTATAATTCCAACTACTCTGGAGGCATAGGTAGGAGGAGGCTGGCCCCAGACCAAAAAAAAAAAACAAAAAAACAAAACACAGGCCCTATCCAAAAAATAAGTAAAACAAAAAAAGGACTATTGGTGTGGCTCAAGTACAAGACCCTGCAAGAGGCCTGAGTTTCAAACCCCACTACTGCCAAAAAAAAAAAAACAAACAAACAACCAGATCTAGTTACCACAATTTCATTCAACTGGTCTCCCTCACCACACCCCAGTCCTGCCCTCTATCTCCCCTCAAATAATATCTATGCTTAAAGCATAAATACTGGAGAATTCCAACTTGGAGAAGAAACCTCCTGAAGTCATTGTGACTTTTCCAAATTGCCATTCCGGAGAAGAGATGCTGACCTGAGAACATCTCCTATCCCTGAGTGATGCCCATATATTCGTTCAGCATGGAACTGGGCCAAAGGTGGCCTGCGACCCCCAGCCTTGCCTACAAATAACTTTAGGGCATACTTGTGATACTTCAGAAACTGAAATGACAACACTGGACACTAAGTGGGGATTCCACCATCAGAAAATAAGCAGGGAATGGAGGAAGGTGCTGGGCTGGCTGGCTACCTGTGGAGGCCAGACTTGTTCCTTGCCCTAACAATTTTATCTCAGTCACTAATCCAAATTAGTGGACTCATGCCTGCTGCCCCTTACAGCAACTGAGGTCTCACTGTCTCTGTGTGTCTGCAGAAGGTGTATTGACAGAGACAGTAGGAGCTCCACAAACATGTGACCCATGAATGAGCCATGACATGGGTGCATTGGGTCCTGAGGGATAAGGACAGTTTGGGTGGCCTTGTGCCTAGGAGGAGAGTGACATTCCAATTGCACACTAATAAGCTCTTGTTTTCTGCACCAAATGTCACAGTCAGCTTTCAGGTCTTTTCTAAATTCTCCCTTGCCTGGAAGGGTGAATTCTATCAACTCTACTTGTCAGCTGAAGAATGTGAGACAGGAGAGGTTTTTCCAAGACCCCCTACCCGATGCTGAGCTATGGCCCCCTGCTTCTTAGTTGTTCCAAAGAGAAAGAAGGCTGGAGTCTTATTTAACTCCTGTCTGTCTCCTTTGCCTATCACAGGCAGGTGAATGCTGACAAAGGCAGCTAGATGGCCCAGCTGGCCACAGACGCGTGTTCCCCATCTGCCCTGCTGTTACATGTGGCCCTGATGCTCTCCGATGCGCTGCCTTGCCTCATGAGCAGTCACCTGATGTGATGTGGCACAGGCCAGCCTAAGAGCTTGCACTGTTCTCGGTTCTCATAGAAAGGCCCTGAGGACTGTCCACAGACCCCGGGCAGGCGGAGCCCGGTTCTGCTTCTGGAGGGGCGTGGACTTCATGAAAGGTGGTCAGAGCATTCAACCTGAGGGCATGAAAGCAACTGGGGGCTCCACCCATCTGGTTTCCCCCAAACCAAACATAGTTTATAGGCGAGAAATGAGGGTAAATGGAAGACCCATGATGCGTACAGGAACCACAATGGCAACATCTGACTAGTTATTGTCACCACAATTGTGGTTATGGTTGCTGCTGGCCACCATGCATAATAGTGGACATCGCTCTGATCCAAGGATGGCTCAACACGGAGTGCCTTATACAAAACTCACAGCCATCCAACCACGTGACAATGCCGGGCCTCCCAGGCTGCTGGGTCTCGCAAGAACATCTGCCAGGCTCCAAACTCCATGTTCCCTCTCCAAAGCTTATTCATAAGAGAGCTCCAGCCGATATCCTGGTGTCATGCCCCAAGAGAGTCATGTGGCCATGTGAGTTTTTAAGTCATTACAGTGAATGAACTACATTGGTGTCTCTGCAGCAGGCTTCTCAGAGCCTTTAGTGGACTGATGCAGTGGTACTTAACTAAAATCACCTGGAAGGCTTAGTAAAATCCAGGGGGCTGGGCCCACCCTGAGTTCCTGTCTTAGGTAGATGTGGGCGGCCTGGGGAATCTGCATCTCTAACAAGTCCCCAGGTGATGCGGAGTGGGCCACACTTAGAGGACCTCTGCTGAGAGTGTTAAAATGACCTTGCATACAAGTACAGCAAAGACACCACCACCAGGACCCGAGAGATAGTGACATGGGCATTTTCTGAACTACTTATAAAGTAGTTTTTTCCTTCTTGCTTTATTGATTGCTGGACTGCCACACCCTCAGTCTGCATAGGGGAGAATGCTAGACACATGAGGCCAGAATCAAATGCACTACATTCTGCCCCTTCCCACCACTCCTGCCCTCAAGAAGAAATCCTGGCCACCCGCAGCCCCAGCTCCTGCTACACTTCATACTGCACACAGCTGTGAGCCCCCATAGCTCTGTCCACTTGCCCTGATGGCCTCTACAGTGACTTCCTTTCCTGAGAGGAGCTCAGATGACAGCAAGGGCAGAGTCAGGCTGCCAAGCCCTCCCCACTCCTGGCCCTCCCCGACTGTCCCTGTGGAAATTTCTACCAGGCCAGAGGAGACATGCTTGTGCCAAAGCCTGTCCTAAACTGCCTGTGGGGAGGCCAGAAAATGAGGGGGAGGTCAACCAAGCTGCAGGACGTGAGCCATCTGATCTCAGCCTGTCCAAATGGCTGTAGCTGTCCAATTATGTGCATCTGAATTTACTTAGCAGATCTGCCCATGCCCAGCTTTCAAAGCCATGTCAAACAGGCCCCACGAAAATTAGCTGTGACACTTCTGTCTGCTTGAGCAAGGAACCCAAGGCTTGTGGCTGCCCACATCTACCTCAGATGTGCCTCGGAAGGCATTATTGTCACACTGAGGTTGGGAAAATGGGAGACCACAGGAAAGGCCTTCAGCCCCAAGTCTGCAGAGTAATCCTGCTGCAGGAGGAAATACCAGGACAGAAAGAGCCCAGCCTGCAGTCCTAACCTACCCACTGTCTCCTCCAAAGCAGCAGCAGCACCAGTAAGCCTTTTTAAACCTGTGGGGCCAACGAAAACCCAAGAAATTTAGCCTCCCTCTCTTTTCTTACTTGTCCTACTTGCTATGAGTGGGTATAGGATGGAGATAAGAGACAAGTGTTCCTGTTTAGCAAATCTGTGGCAATGATAAGACAGTTTTGGGGTGTCATACCCATTTCCCAGATGTAGCACAGCCCAGATGGCCAGCTTGCTGCTGAGAGGGGGCTCTGATTGGAGACCAGGGCTTGTTCCTTCATGGTGCTGTGATCTGAGCAGTCCTGAGATGGAGTCAGGGCAGCAGGTTTGAACACACTAGGCACGTGCATGTGAGCATCAGAGTTTGCTAGGGTGTGTGGCACACACGACCCAGCCCACTGGAGACTACAAGAGTTCCTGATCCAAGCACCAAGAACAGTGGCAGGACTTCCCCATCCCACCCCAATCCTGGCCACCACAGCTCTCGTGGGTCTTGACAGCATCAGAGGGCTTTGGTCAGGGAGCTGT